TGGAGGTCGTCTGATACGCCCAGTCGTCTTATACACCAGAAAATAAGGGTAATTATGTGGCACTGCTGAGGGTGTGTAGATCAGATCAGTGTGTAGATCAGATCACTGCTGAGGGTGTGTAGATTGGATTTGAGACCAGCAAAGACCTTATGTAAGCTGAGTTCTATCTACCCTTTCGTCGTTATTGTTGTTTTACCAATTATACCAATTTTATGGAACATCAGTGTATTCCTGTTATGTAGTCGAAATCAGAAAAAGCATTGATTTGGAGTCACAGATTTTTTAGAATCCTAGTTTTCCTTTTTAAACAGTAATATAAGGAATAAACTTGATTTACAGCTGTTTTGATGACAACTGTAGGGTTTAATGTAGATTCACTGAAATCAGCAGAACATGAATTATTCATGACTAACTTAAGTCTAATTGATTTCAGTGTTCTGTTCTAAATATGAAAAAATAGAGTTCAACACGATATTAATTACAAATAGTAACATATTCAAATTAACAAGTTAATTACAGGTTATTTGTATGTGGTCTTTGATCCTGACTGTTAATTTTTAGACTTTTAAAACATCATTATATAAACTTGTGGATTAGCATGTCCTGGCACATTGAAAAGTCTTGCCAATAGTGCTAAAGAATTATTTCAAAATGCTGGGTAGGGGGACATTTTATTGTTTAGGTTTTGCTATAGTGATCACTATTGAAAGCTGACTTGGCACAAAGCAGTCTCTTTTTCTGGATAAAAGGGAAACAGACTATGAGATAAGTTATTGATGAAATTAACTGCTGAAGTGGAGAGGAAATGCAGCTGCCCAATACTTGTCATAGTATGAGCTCTATTAAATGAATATATGTGCAGTCAACCATTCACAGGAGCCACACTGGTCTTGAACTGCATTGATCTATAGTATAATTCTAAATGAAATTGATGGATGAGAGCAACCATTGACAGGAACGGTAAAGAGAACCATGAAATGTCTTGCATAGGGAAAGTATGATGGAAAATAGACTGTTGATTAGAATGTACTGTAGGAGTATGGCATCCTTATATTGTCTTATGCTTATTTATAGTGTTTCCCATTTCAGTATCTATTTCATTTCCATTGTAAACAGTATCTTCTATGTCTAGAAGATACTTACTTCATTACTTTTGGATTTTCTAGAAGAAGGTAATCATTTTTTGCACAGTCTCCAGTACGTCATTTAGTAAATCAATGTTTTTTTCTTTTTTTTATTGAACACATATAAAATGTTTAATACAAACAAAACATACAAAACACTACCACACAATACAACATATCTCACTAACTACCAGACAGTAGTACACTCATACACATCAAACATAACTGACATACATTTCAAAATCTATACCTATAATGATAACTTATAAAAATGGATTTTTTCGTATAAACATTAATTTTTAGGTCTAATGAATGTATATTACAAAGTTTGTTGTCTCAGTGAATCTTCCAACAGTGTCTCTTCAGATCACATATTTAGAATCTTTCCTTTCCTTTAAATTTATTTCGATATCTCTGTCTTCTATCATTTTATTTACACATAACCATTTTTTTTCAGTCTCAAAATAGTTTTGTATATAATTTCTCAAATACCGTATTTTCCTTCGTATAAGACTACTTTCTAAGAGGAAAAGCTGGAGCTAAAGCTGGGGGTGGTCTTATACGGCAAGTATAAAGCTGAGGAGGTTGAGAAAGACTCCTCCCACAGAGGAGGGAGGGGGGAAGGAAGGAGCCAAATGGGAGAGAAGGAGGAGGAGGAGCAGGAAGGCTGCTCTGAGGAGGCTGGGAAAGAAAAAAGCCTGGGAGGGAGAGAAGGAGGAGCCTGAAGAGGAGGTATTTAGTATTTTCTGGAGCATTCTATAAGCAAACTTTTTAATGTTTAATTTTCTTGAGAAAATGTCTTCCTCCTAGTAG